AAAATAAATATCCAGTTCCCCAAGGGTTGGAGGTGGTTTAAAACACGCCGTGGGAGCCCGAGCTGGCTCAGGCATCAACATGGGCCCACGGCACCGTCCTACCAGGGATTAGAAGGCTGCTCTGGTGGTTTCAAGCATTTCCCTTTCTGCACCTTCTGCAAATAAACCTGGTGGCTTTTCTGGTAAGCGGCTTCAACAGCAAATGCTTCCTGCCCGGCTTGAATGGAGTTTACTTGTGCCCGTGCCAAAGAGTTTGACGTGCTGGAGGAAAAGGGCTGCACCGCTCGCATCCGCTTCCTCGTTTCCACTTGGGAAGCGCAGGTCATAGGAAGGGTCACGAGAAGCGCTGGGGTCACAAAACCCGGGGACGGTTGTGAGCTGCCTCCTGTTGCTCACATCACCGCGGCACCTCTATCCGCAGCCCTCAAAGCCAGGCGAGTAGCATTACTCAGCCCTGCACGGATGGGGAAACTGAGGCAGGCAACAGATAAGAGGGTCGCTCGAGGTCAGCAGGAGCTCCATAAAGAGAAGTCAGGAGTCCTGGTACCTGAGCCTATGCCTTCACCAGTCAGTAGTGCCACTTTGTTATTTCAAAAGGGGTTTTTTATTTATTTATTTTAAATCATAATTTAAGAAACAAAATGTTGCTGCTCTCCCAGGATGTGGGAGGATGAGGCTGACTGCGAGGAAAGAAAGAGGGTTAGGGCACCAGCCACCACAATGGGAGATATCTCGGCTCTGCCACAGACTCCCCGTACTACCCTGAGCCTGTCACTTAGTCTGCGCCTCAGTTGCTCATCTGCAAAAATGGGCATAATAGTACTCTCCTAGGATGGGGATCTTCACACTTTGTAATCTTTAAGATTCTCTGTAAAGGTTATAGGGAATAAGTCCTCAACAAGGCCCTACAGGTCAGGACTTATCCCTGGTTTGCTGAATGGGAAACTGAAGTTGGGTGGGAGGCTGTTCTCCACCTTGGACAGGTAGGAGCTGAGGCCCAGAGCGCCCAAGGCCCAGCCTGTCAAAGGGACTCTGGTGCCCTCCTGCTTCTGTAGGCGCCTGCATCTGTCACCCAACCAACACCGACCTTCTCCAAACTACTGCTCGGCTGCTGTCCACCCCAAACATCTGCCCAAGCCTGCTCCACAGCCAACAGGCGCCTACCTCGGGGAGCACGCAGAGCTAGGAAGCCTGCGGGACAGCAGGGACCTCAACTCGTGCTGCTCAGGTCACAAGTTAGGGCCATAACCGCTGGGCCCTCCTTCCAGCCGAGGGGGTTGGGCCCAAGACCTCTGGCTTGGAGCCTAACTCCAGCATTAGAAAGGCGAGTCGCTTCCAAATGCAGCTCTGTTTAAGTCTTATCTAGGGTCATTTCAATACAAAGGTTGCCTAAGCCACACGGCGATTAGCTCCTCTTCTAGCGAGCAGCAGTCAGGCAGCTTTGCTTGCGGTAATATCATGGCAAGACTTCATCGTGGAAGGAAGGAAGGAAGGAAGGAAGGAACACTCTTTCTTTCTCTCCCGAGCACATCTACACATTCATTAATGCACCGTACTTACTGCACATTAAGTTTTGTACTCGGAGAACCAAGCACTGAATCCACGTGCAGTTACTTGTGTTACGATGCAGTAGCACCGGTGCACGGTTTTTGAGCGACGCCAATGCGCAGTAGCCTAATGTTACTGCGCGGCAGCGTATTAACGTGGGTTTTGCTCGGCACGCTACTGCGCAGTGTTATTAGACTGCTGTGCAGTTAGCGTCTTGTGTAGACGCACACATTGAGGTGTCAATTAACAAAAATAGACAAGAAAGCACGTTAGCCCTTTATTACCTAGACCCACCACCGCCGCCTCTTAGGGGTGGACTTTCGGTTGCTCAGGTCTTCATTCCTCTCCACCAGGCAGGCAGGCAGGCAGCCAAACTACAGCTCCCATGATGCACCAGCTCCCCCCTTTAGGAGTGAGGGCACTAGGGATGCAAGCTCAGCCTCTACGGCTGGAGAGACCGACTCGGGCATCTCTCTGCTGAGGGGCTGCAGGAGGATTTTCCACACTGAAGTATTTTGCTCCAGTCTCTGCTGCTATTTGAATTCTTGTTAGACAACTAGTTTTTCCCACAGAACAAGCAGCCCTGTTTTTCACCCAGCTCTCTCAACCAGGCGGATGAACGGTGCAACCTCTCCTCTCCAGGAGCATGGCAGCTCGTCTGCATCACACCTCCCTACTCAAGACCCAGTACTGCTCTTGCCGCAGCGGCTCTTTTTGATACGCCTCTTGCATTTTTATACGACTCGTGCAGTGCTTCAAGGGATGACATATCACCAGTGAAGACCCAATCATCTGGCTCCTAAAAAGCAAGAATGGGCTGGTACCTCCCAGCCAAGGCTCTTGGGATTTCAGGCGAGGCAAGGCTGCTACGCAGGGTTGCATCTGACCTTCCCCTGCGCCTCAACGGGACCTCTACTACCGCTCAGGCTGGCGCACTTAGAGACAAGGCACCAAGGCAGCACATGCACGTTACCAGATGTGCAGGAGGCAGCTGGCGCAGAGATGACTGGAGTTTAGTCCCCAGCTCTGCCACTGCCTTCCCAGGTGACCGAGGCCAAATCACTGCATCCCTGTGCACCTCAACTTCCCCATCTGTAAAACAGGGATAACAACACCCACCTTATACAAGGCAATGGGCGATGCCACATCTACGCAAAGCGGGGTAGCACTGCTCCACGAGCTGGCACGAGATGCAAAGCCAAATGCTGCCGGGAACAGAAAAGCAGAACCGTTTCCAACATCGGGACTATATTTTCTTTCAGGCGTGCCTCCTGCCAGCCACCGCTCCACGTGTAGGCACACGTCCAGGCAGCGTGCGAGCGGGCAAAGGAACGCCGTCGTCAGGGCTCAGCGCCAAGTACCTGGCCTGCTGTGGAGTCCCAGGTGGAGGATCAGACCCTGCAGTAAGGGCAGGGATCGCTGCTCGTCTCCTGGGAGGGGGGCATCAGGGTACCTGGACAGGATTCCCAGTGGGCCGCGATCTCCGGGACTTCCCATGCTGGCTGAGCCTACGTCTCCTCTGGGCGGCATGGTCACGGCCTGTACATAGGCAAACCAAACAGCTGTCCTGCATGGGCCTGGACCCCTCACACCTGCCAAGCTGTCCCAAGATCGCTGGAGGCAACATGAAGCTGTTGTCACCGCAGCGGAGCGGAGCTGGCCCGATCGCCCCCATACGTGTGCAGGAACCGGGGCACAAGCCTGGGCTGCCTCCAGAACAAGGACATGTCAGAGCACAGGGTAGAGTCAGGACGGTTTGGCCCCTGGTTGGGTCAGGTCTTCCTGAGCACCTGCGAGAGGAGCAGCAGTGGCAGCAGGCCACTGGTGGGTTGGTCCAGCCTCGTCTGCCGGGATCCCAAGGGGGTCCGGTCTGTCTGATCGCAGGGGGACCGAGCATCCTTGTTGCTTCCTTTCACCTCCGCATCCAGCCCAGGCCTCCCACTTGCTCACGCCACATGCTCCCAGCCCGGACTAAAAGCCCCCAAGGGCAGGGGCTGAGACTGCAACGTGTGTGCAACTCAAGCATCACTTGCTAAAGACGCACCTGGCTCCTATGGAGCCAAGGCCAGTGTTGGAGGTGGGGAAGGAAGGAAAGGCCACAGACGTTCCCAGGATGGGGAGCACCTTCAAGGGCATGAAGCAGTTTGTCTTGGAGTCGAGGGAGCAGGGCCCTCGGCTCTCCCCTGGCTCAGGCCTGCAACTCGGATCAAGCGCTTTCCCAGTCTGCGAGAGGAGGTGAAGGAGCTGTCAGGACACGCGGGAAGGGCCCAGGGCAGTGCCAGAGCTGGCGCCACGCGGCTTCTTTGTCTGGAAGAGCGAGGCTGCGAGAGGAAGGTAAACTCCCGCCCCGGCTTTTGTCGGGATGAGAGCTGGAGGGAGCCGTCTCCTGGCGCCAGCCCTTGAGCTGAGCCTTGCCGCCTTCTCCTTCTGGTCAGAGAGGATGGTCTCGTAGTTAAAGCAAAAGTCCAAGGAGGCAGGAGAGCAGGGCTCGATTCCTAACCTACCAAGGGCAGCCTGGCATACCTTCTCGTGCCTCAGTTTCCCTGCTTGCGACAGGAGATGACATCCAAATCTCCCAAGCTATTGGAGCACAGGGCCGGGCACCAGCGAGTCAGGTAGCCCCTTTGCTGGAGACCCGACTGCTTCTCCCCTGCGGAGAATAACTCACAGCAGAACTGAATCTTTTTCCTCCCCCCGCACGCCTGGCAGAGACAATACACCGCTGGGGCTCCAACAGCTCGTGCTTAGTCTGCTCCCTCTCCACACCTCACCTGCAACAGGCTCAGCCAGGATGCAAAGAAGATTTGAGCCTGGATCGCACTGGCCATCATTCGCCCCCACAGCCCAAGCCTCGCTTTGCTGGCAGAGCAGAGCAGAGCTGGCGAGACGCACGGAGCGGCCAGGAGAGGGTAGGGCAGGACAAGGGAGAAGAGCGCGGAGGCTCAGAGCTCCCCGGGGCTCAAACGTGTCAGTCCAAGCGTGGCTGCGGCAGGGCCTGGAGACGGGCACCCTGCTCAGAGGGCCCCACCCACAGGGACAGGGGAAGGGGGTCACACCCACTGACATGGCAAACACTTTATTCTTGGACAGATTTATAAACATGCAGACCATACAAAATCCCACAGAGCTCCTCTGCGGGCGGGCTTTGTTCTCGTTGGCTATGGTTGCAAAGGTCTGCAAGACGGGTCCACGCTGGGAGATGCATGGACCGGGGAAGGGCAAAGGACCTGCAGCCAGAAGGTGCCTCGGAGCGGGAGCCCTTGGGGGCTGCTCAAGTTCGAGACCAGCTCCGGCCTCAGAGGGGCAGGGCAGTTCCCATGCAGGGCTGGAGCTCATGGCACAGGTGTCCCCTCTCCCCCCAAGAGCCCCTGACCAACACCGTCCCCCTCCAGGCATCTGTGGCATGCGGGGAAGTAGCGGCCGGGCTGCTGAGGGGACGTCCCGGCTACTGCTGGGAGGAAGGTTTTGCTCTTGTAATAAATTATGTTTTAACAACAAGGATGCGAGGTGCTGGAGTGTGAACACCATCTGCCCACCGGACCCGCACAAGAAGAGGGCAGGGCGGCACTTTCACCCCAAGGGAAACCATTCCTGGCTTGAAGGTGACCATGTGGGGGGAGAGGGAGGGAGTAAAGCCCATTCCCGTTTTCACCCGGGGACAGCCGCAGGGAGCGGCTAGCAATCGTGGCTAGGAAATATGGACACTGGTGCCTGGGGTCAGTGGGTCTCCATAGCCTTCCACCCAAATCCCAGGGTCACTCCCTGCTCCGGCTTGAAAGACTCCCCTAGTCCATCCAGGCCGTTCCTGTGGGGGGAAGGACCAAAATAGTCCCACTGTGGGGTAGAGGGAGGTAAAAGGATGCTCCGGAGAGCTTTGCCCCCGTGGTTGACAACGGGGCACTGAAGGGAGTTTGGGGCACTGGTGTTCCCCGGCCCGGGCCAGCCACGTGCGGGGTCTGGGGCAGCAATTAGGGCAAAGGGAAAGGAAACCTCTCAGGGCTGAGCACAAACACAGCCTGGCTGCAGCCGTGCGTCCCGGAGGCAGTGACCTCAGCGAGTCCTGCCAGGCCCGTGGCGCTGCCCGTCGGGCCAGACGCTTCCGCTGGGAGTTTCGGGAGCTAAAAAGCGCTGATCTTGGCTCTCACTTCAGTCCTGGTCCCTGGGGCCGCTCAGTGCCAGCGCCCCGGACTCAGGATGCCGTTGCTTCTCGGGAACGGGCCTCAGCCCCGGCCCGGCGCTCTCTGGGGCTGGGTCCCGAGAGCCTCCGAGACAAGTCCTATGGACAGACACCGACACCGCACAGTCGGACACGGGGCAGCTTCGGCACCTCCACCCATTGGGCTTCACAACCGTCTTGCCCTTGGCCACGTGGGCCCATGGCTTTTCTGTGCAGGGCTCCCCCCGTAACACACTGCTCCCCTCTGGGCAGGTCCCCGGAAGGGGGAAGAGCGTTTTGCTCTTCAAAACAGGGGCAGGGGGTGGGGGTGCATGCAGGCACAGCCCTCGTGTAGCCTCACCTGCTGCCGACAGATGTCCAGCATGATCCCGGCATGCACCAGGCACCACATCTCCCCCACCAGCGAGACGAAAACGTTGAGGATGTCCATCCACCGGCCCACGGTCATGAGGAGGATGAGGAGGCCCCCCATCCGCACGAACACGGTCTGGTAGGCCGCCTGCTCGCTGGGGTTCTGCCTCTGCTCCTCTGCCCGAAACAGGAGCATCCCACAGTCACGGGTGGACTCGTTTACGGCTCCCAGCAGAGACCGCGGACAGGCACCTCTTGGGAAGCAGCTGCAGCTGTGCTACGTGGCTCGCCTAGCCCACAAAACAGGCTAAGGGAGCACGGGCTGGAGTCTATCCTGCTTCTGCTCATGCAAGAAGTTGTGCTTCTAGGGCACCCCAAATACCACTAGCTCCTCTCCCGGGAGGGGTGGTGGCAGCTCCCAGAGATCACACAGGGACGAGAGCCACTATGGGAGGCGATTGAGACCCAGCCCGGTTGCAGCTCCCCTGGCCTGTCTGATCCCGGGCACACTTCCCACTCAGACAGCACGAAGAACAGGAGCCCACCTGACTGCATCAACATGGGGCTACCTACCCGTGCCCAGTGGCAGCTGTAGCTACCTGGGATGTCCATTTTCGAGGCCCTACAGGTGGGTTGGGCCTCAAAAGACTAGGGTTCCCCTGCCCCATCTTGCTGGGAAGCGCCCAAGGCCCAGCTAAAATACCCTGTTGACTGGGGAGTCTAAGGAGCAAACAGAGGGGGAGAAGACCTCCCGCCGGCCCTCACCTTGCATGTAGATGACCAGCAGGGTATAGCAGATGGTGAGCGGTGTCCAGAAGCGAATGGCCTCCGAGGTGGTGAGGAAGTCCCTGTTGATCAGCGCCACGGCAGCCAGGTCGGCCACCACGAAGGTGACCTTGAGGGCATTGCAGAGCAGGAGGGGGATGCCGTGCCAGGAGGCGAGCAGGGAGATGCAGACCCCGCAGTAGCGCTCCTTGCTGTGCAGCTCGTACATGACGCAGACGTGCCGTGCCGCCTTGCGGACGTAGCTGGCGATCAGGCCGGCCAGCCCCACGCCGAGGACCAGGTTCCAGGTGCGGTGCGGGGCCCCTTCCAGCAGGTAGGAGAGGCTGCAGGAGATGCCGCAGCCCAGGGAGTACTGGCACAGCAGGAAGAGCTGGCTGCTGGGTGCCCCCTGCGGAAGCAAAGCATCGGAGATGCAGCGTGGGGAGCCACAAGCCCGCGGGACGCATTGGTGCCGTCCTACGACACGGGGACTGGAACTGGGTGCCTGGTCCAATTCCCCAGGGCAGAGAGCAACCACGAACTCGGGGCATGATGAGATGAGGGGTAGAAGTGAAGCAGACCATTCCTGTCCATGCTATGCAGAGCCAGAGCCTCCTCTTTCAGGTCCAAGCATGCATGCTACACACCGCCCCCAAAACACACACATGCTTGCTATTGACCCAACAACCGACTTCCAGCCAGTTTGCTCTTGCATAACACCTGAGCATGATGTAATCCAGCTGTGGGCTGCTGTTTTGGCCTCTCTACACCCTCACCTTCATCTGGAGAAAGCAAAAGGCCCTGGGGAGAAGGAGCAATGGCAGGGCTTCCCATCCCAGCAGGGCCAGACACGGGCATGGGTGAACCAGGTGGCCGCCCGAGGCCCGGACAGAAAGGGGGCCTGAAAACGGTCATTTTTATTATCATCATCCTTCTCTCTGCTGATACTAAAAGTTTGCCCAGGGCCACCAGGAGTTGCATCCTAGACACGAAACAGTCCACAGCACAAACCCTCTCAGCCCATGGTGTAAAACAGTCGGGAGACCCGAGTTCTAGTCCTGCCGGTCACCCAGCAAGTCGGGGACACTGGCAGGGTCTCCGTGCCCTACAGATGGGGAACAGAAGCAGAGATGCTGCCCTCGACCCCCTCCGGGAAAGGCTTGGAGACCCGGTGCTAGATGAGACCTAGAGAGCATTATTCTAGGGTGCACTAGTGACAACACGAGGAGCAGCCACTCACCTTGTGCAGGGACAGGAGCATCGACATGGCCCGGAGGGAGAACTCCAGCACCACCAGAGCGGCCACGCGATACCCCACCACGGTGAAGATGCCCGTCAGCAGGACAAGGTGCAAGTGATCCAGCAGGGACCACTGGGAGCGGATAGTCTCCTTCTCCCTCTGCTTGTCAGGGTCACTGGAAGCAGAGATGCACACCAAGGAACGAGAGGCAGGAGGATGTCCGCACAGCAGAGGTGCTCCAAGTCTTTGGGCCTGACCCCGAGCCACATGCAGGAAGCTGCCCCAGACTTGTGCTAGGAGCCCTGGCTCTAGGGCAGCCAGATTTTTAAGAGACTCCCTCCCTCCCCTGCGTACATGAATCAAGCCAACCCCACCTCCCAGCCCAGATCCCTCCAGCCTAGGCTGGACCCACTTCCCCAGCACCTCGGTTAATACCCCCCTACATGACAGCCCGCCTGGCCGGGCTCCTCACAAGGCACCCGACAGGCCATCGCCAGCTGGCGTCGCTCCGTGTGGTCAGCAGCCGTGGCCTTTTGGTGCTTGATGGGAGCAGGTCACGTGTGACCAGCGCTGGGGACGTGGGAGCCGTTCCTCGGGGCCAGCACGAGGAGAAAGGAAAGATGAGACGACCCTGGGGCAGGCTGCCGGGCACGCAGCACAGCACTCGGGGACACTGGCTCAACACGGCTCCCAAGAGCTCAGCGCTCTCAGCCCCACGGGGGCGAATCGGGGTGCGGGGAGCATCCTGGCGTGGAGGAGGGAGGGCAGCACCGGGGGGCTTGCCCCAAGGCAGGGAGCACAGAACAGGCTTGGGCTGCACCAGCTGCTACACGAGCCCATCCCTGCCTCATTTCCTACCACGAGGACCAGCCAGGGCTGGCAAGTTGTAGCAAGGAAGGGCCAAGCTGGAAGCTGGATAGGACAGATCCTTCCTCTGCTGGCCACAGAGGCAGCGCTGTATGGAGGCCCCTCCAGCTTCTTGGGGGTTAAACCCTGCAACCCAGGCATCTCTGCACAGCCCAAACACCTCTGCACGCACCCTGGCATTTTAGCACCAGGCTTCAGAGACCACAGCAGGCTCCTCACCTGGCAGTCGCCTGTCTTGGGAGAGCCCCGAGGAAGCCAAAGCTACTTTCCTCTCGGCTACAGGGAGTAAGGTTTGTGAAGAGGAGAAGAGATTCCCCTGCCCCCAGGCACTTACTTCAGGCACTGGATGTAGAGGTAGATCTTCACCAGGCTGCACAGGACAGAGACCGCACAGGCACCGACCAGCCCTGCAAGGGAGGGGAGACCAGAGGGTCCTGGGAAGGGCCAGAGAGGGGGCAGGTGGGGGGCAGGGCAGGCTGGGCACCCTCACCTTGCAGGATGGAGTCCATCAGGGCAGTGCCCCAGGCCAGGCTGGGCAGGCTAGGCAGGCTGGGGAGCCAGGAGCCCAGGGAGAGCATTTTTAAGTGGGTTGGAAGGAGCTTGTAGGCAGGTGTGTGGAGCTGGGCTCCTCTCGCGGCCCTGCACCGGTGATGTCAGCCTAGGGCAAAGGTCTGGCAGAGGCATTGGGAAAGCAGGGCGGTGCCTGGGTAAATCATTCTGCGGGCCCAGGTGGAGCAGATCGGCTGTAGCCGCCCCTGCCCGGCTAGAGCCCCTGGTCCAGGGACGAGCTCAGTAGCGGGGGCTGTTTGGCAACAGCTCTCAGTGGACTGAGCGCAGGGGAGAGAGATGCCAGACAGGCTCTGGGGCACCAAGTTAAGAGGGGACGGGCTGGGGCTGCAGCCCAGAGAAACCTGAGTCAATCAGATCCACGTCCGTGTTTGAGTTGCTCCTGTTTTCAGGGGCACCTTTGTCTTCTCCGAGGGACCGGGCGGGCTGCAATAGGGACATCTAACAGCACCACTCTCCATCCGCCGACAGACTCATCTCCTCTGGTGTCCAAACCCAAGGATTGCTGGATGTTTCCAGGCTTCAGCCAGCTCCCCTCCTGCTTTTCTTTCTCCAGCAACTGCAGAAGGGAAGTGCCTGGCTGCCCATGGATTACATTAGCTGGTGCTAATTAAGATGCCAGCTGTGTTAACTCTTTCCTGAGAGACACAGACCTGACCCTGCTATTAGCTTTGGTGGGTCCTTGCTAATCACGCCCAGGTGGGGAGGCCCAAGATGGACCATGGATCAGGGGAGCGGACTGGTCTTCAAATCAGCAGCCTGTAGTGGCCCTGTGAAATGTCAGCTAGGTTTTTTTTTGTCGGGGGGAGCCTCTTGGGGCCAGCCGGGTCCACTTCCCTGCAGCTGAATGCTGTCTCCAGGGCGGATACCTGAGAGCCGTCAGTCTGGGGGGGGGTCTCCTGGGACCTGAGCAGCTTTGAGGTGCGGCCAGCCCAGCATCCCTGCGTCCCAGAGCTCTTTGCAGGTGTGCATGCATGTGTGTGTCGGCAACTCAAACATGGCCATGGATTTGACTGACCCAGGTTTCTCTGGGCTGTAGCCCTAGCCTGTCCCTGCTTAACATAGGCTGTACAGGAGGGACAGGACAGGGAGGAAAGGCAGGGGCGGGGGGGGGTTACATTAAGGAGGAATACACATTCTCGTCAAGTAGCACGGCGTCAGAGGAGGGGCACACGGAAGTGCTCTGGGTCCATATACAAGGGGGGTGAGGAGAAAGGGACTTAACGGTGGGGTCTACTACAGACCCCCCAACCGCGGGGAAGAGCTAGACCAGGAATACTTCAGTCAGCTCACGGAGGTCGTTAGGTCAAAGGACGTGGTCATCATGGGTGACCTGAACTTCCCGACATCTGCTGGGAAGAGCAATCAGCCAGGTCTGACTGCTCACGTAGGTCCCTAGCCCAAATGCAGGACCTCCATCGAACCCAGGAGGTGCACAGCCCCACTGGGGAGACGCCTTGTTGGACCTGGTGCTGGCCATGGGTGATGACCTGGTGCAGGGGCTGCAGGTGCTCGACCCCCTGGGCGACAGCGATCATCGCCTGCTGGGATTCACCATCCAGCGCAAGGTGGCAGAGGCCGGCAGCAAGGCAGCGGCCCTAGATTTGAGGAGGGCAAACTTCAATGAGCTAAGGAGACTAGTTGGGGAAGCGCTGAGGTCCCGGAGGGGAGGGGAGCCGGGTGTCCAAGGAGAGTGGTTGCTCCTCAAGGAGACGATCCTCCAAGCCCAAAGGGAGGTAACTCCAACATGGATCAAAGGGGGCAGGAGGGCGCACAAGCCCCCATGGCTCACCAAAAGCATCCGGGAACGTCTCCTAGCTAAAAGGGAGGCGCACACCCAATGGCAGGGAGGGGCCATCCCCAGGGAGGATTATACTGCGGTTGCTTGGGGCTGCAGGGGGTGTCAGGAAGGCCAAGGCAGAGATGGGACTGGGACTAGCGACCCGGATCAAGGACAACAACAAGTCCTTTTTTAAATACATAGGGGGCAAAAAGAAAGTACTGGGTAACATGGGGCCCCTGCAAGACATGCTAGGACATCTGGTCATCACACCAGACGACAAAGCTAACCTATTTAACAATTTCTTTGCCTCCATTTTCCTGAGCAGGGACCGAAACAGCCCCCCCAGGGGAGGCGCCCCCAGGCCCAGGGTCAGGGAGGATCTGGTCAGGGAACGTCTGGAGGGACTGGACGTGTTCAAATCAGCGGGTCTGGACCATCTCCACCCCCGAGTGCTGCGGGCATTGGCTGAGGTCATTGTGGGACCCCTGGCACGGCTGTACGAGCACTCGTGGTGCACTGGAGAGGGGCCAGAGGATGGGAAGAGGCCAACGTGGTTCCCATCTTCAAAAAGGGGAGGAAGGAGGACCCGGGGAACTATAGGCCAGTCAGCCTTACCTTGATCCTGGGCAAGCTGTTCGAGAAAATTATTCTGGCAC